GGCCTGAGGAGCCCGCGGCTCCTGAGGGCGCCTGACGCGGCAAACGACGAGTCTCATAAACGGCACCGGCTAAAATGTTCAGTGCCCCGCTGAAGTCCCAAATCTAAGCTAAAATAGAGCTGAAACGCGGTTAAAACTAATGAAATTGCTTAACAATGAAACACATCTGCTCAGTTGTGTCGGCGCTGGGCTTTTTTTCTGCCTGGTATTTCCAACTCTTGCTAACAAGCTGTGGTCATCCACGCAGAAGAGGGACGGGATGCCATGAGGTACTCGTGCGATACCCATCTGCAGAAGCCCAGTCACACCACCGGCCTAATAACCGCATGGCAGATGGGTGGAATAAGCTGGAACACAAAGAACAAGCAGAGTAGCAATATGGATGTTAGTTCTGGGTTTAACTACGTGCAAAATGATCTAAAGGAAGCAAGACTTTAATAGGAGTTGCCACTCCTGTCTGTGATTGGTCAAATGAATGTTTCTGCACTCTAAGCCCTAAAAAACCTGATCCTAATGAAGTATTCGTGCCCATGATGGGAGCCAAAGCATTACAGCTGTGGCTATGAGGAAAAGTGTTCAGGGTGCACCAGTAGCATGACTTTTCTCAGTTTTAAGATGTTTATTCTTTGCGCCAAGATTAGATTTCAGTTATCTGTTCCAATCCTGTGATATCCTGCTCATTTTTGTCCCCTTTTGACCATCTTCGTCATTTTATCTCTGTGAAATTGGGGACTTCTTGATACATGTGTAGTATACCGGATCCCTGTTCTTATTTGAAGTTTGTAACTCCTAAGGTAATAAAAGTCAAACCTATAGTTTTTCATTAACTTTCTCCTAAGCTAAAGCACGTGATGTTTGTCACTGCCAGTTGATGCGGGGCATGCACATCTAGAGATAGGACCAAAATTACTGTCTCAATGGCCAACCTGATGTCTGACAGCCACCTTCTTCATATTTTTAGCAGTTATCTGGAAGAAATTAAGTCATAGCCTGTAAGGTGATTTGCACAGCAAATAATTAAATCATAATTTTGAAGATAGTTGGCTACTACAGAGTAGTTTTCATTGTTCAATAATTGATTTTAATTATACAGTATGAACTTTAATACATTCAGATGCAAGGTTGTCTAGGAACAGAGGATGAAAGTGTAAGTTGCAGGATGGGTAATGTCTGTCTAGTGGAAAGCTAGAAGCTAGAAGCCCTAGAGAAGGGCTTTTTATGTAATGGATGACAACCAACAATATCTGGAGCACAAGTGCAGTTTGTAGCGTAAGAACAGTTTAGCTGTTAGTTGGACTAACAGACAATGTGCAATTCTACTGTCAGTGTTTTTAAAAGAATGCTGAAAAGTTGTGGAGGACAGCTAAAAGTAAGAAGTAATTTTGTGGGCTGAAAAAGCTATTTCACAGTGGGAACAGACAGCCTACTTAATTTGTTAAGATTTAGTAGGCAGTAATATCTTTGAAGCATCCACAGAGAGTTAAGATAATGCTGAGGTCTGGTTGGATGGATGAATGTCTTTTAAAATTCAGTCACTGCAGGGTGAACTTTGATATTCTCAAACTAGAAATAACACTTATTCTAAGGAGAATTTTTTGTATCAAGTGGGGTTGTGGTATACTGCTTTGTAATTAGCATTTGCTATATTAGTTGTTATTCTGAAAGAATATGAAACTGTGCAGATCTGTTCTCACACCATTTCCAGCTACCTCTCCCTCTTTCGTACTCTCCTTGTGTAAAGATAAGGCTGAAGAGAGATCTGTTTTTCTGACTTGACTCCTTCTCCTACAAACTGCTGGAGAAGTGGATCTGCTTTGTACTCTGACTCTCAGGCTTCATACATATGTGGGTCCGACAGTGTGCAAAGCATCAATAAAGCTTTTACTGCTGTGTGCAAGAAATAAGCCATAGTTTCGTTCAGGGCTTGTATTTGCAGTTCATTAGCCTGTCTTGTTCTGCTCTGGCATCTGCACAGAGCTCGGGATACATCTCATATTTGAAGCTGTCTTGGTGCAGTGTGCATATGATTGGCACTCACCTCGTATCTCGGTTTTGGTCTTATGTTGCACAAATCCCCTTAGTGAATCTCTGAGGAGTTGTTGGAAGCACTTTGCGTTGGGCTACAGGGAAGTCCATGGAGGCAATATACTGGGAGTAACACAGTCTTTTGATCTGGCAATCAAATCTCTGCTTTGACTTGGATGGATCAAACCTTTCTGCAATATAGGGCCACGTTTATGACTACAACCGGCAGAGATTTCATAACGATAAGAGGGAGTGGAATCCCAGTACACGGAATAAAAGCAATAGAATTTGAACAGGAACTCATAGGAAAAAAATAAAGCGTCTGAGTGAGATTCAGAAGCTTCTGTTGCAAACCTTTTAGAATATTTTGCATAGGGGTGCTGCTGTCTCTCCTTGTGAGTAACTCATCTTCAGATAAAAATGACAATGCAGAGACATTCAGGCAGATAAGATTAAATTGGGTCATAGCGTAGAATAAAAATTTATCTGTCAAATGACTTCAAGTTACAGGCAGAGCCAAAGTATTGCAACCATGCAATACATAAAGGTCATAATTAATGAAAACACAGGTGAAATGATAAAATAAAATATTTTTAGAAGAATGGTTTTGCATATTCCAGCAGACAGTTCTAAACTCTCAAGAAGATTAGACAAGATTTGTGAAGACAAGAATAAAAATGTAGTATCACTAAAACAAGAGTTAGTATATAGGTGGCAGACAAGCACAATTATGTATTTTTCAAGCGATAACAAAATAAGAATTCAGGATACACTGCAAGTACCAATCATTTTCTACAAGTCAAGATTTGTTTCAGTGTAACATCCTAATCAGTAACCAGGACAGTTGGATAGAATGCATCTTTATCAGGGTTGCAGATGACACCAAAATGTGGGGAGCAGTCAGCGCCCTGGAGGGTAGGGCTTTCATTCATAGCAACTGTGTCTTGTCAGAACCAGTGTTTTGCCAGAAAGCAAGCAGGTTTAGTTTTCTGTACTACTGGCTAAGGAGATCTGTTTGTGGTTTTTGTTTTTTTTCACGGACTATTGGAAGCCTGTAGCAATTAAAGCCATGTCTCCAGAACTGTATTTGGTAAAAAGGTTCTGGTTAAGAATGCCCAATCTGAGTTTTTTGTCTGCTTTAATGTGTGTGAGTAGCCCATGAAGCAATTCTTTGTTCCTAATGTGCTAGAAGTGCAGGTGTGTTGTAAGGAGTATGAAAGGCATTCTCCCAAAATTAATATGAAATTTAGTGACCGTAAGGGATGAAGCAGTGAGGAAACAATTTTGCATGACCATTAACAGTGGAAATTAAAATGTGTTAATGTGCTGGCATTTTTTGCCATTAAGGACTTGTTTTATTTGCTTAAAATCCCATATGGCAATACTTCATAGCCTCACATACCCTTAATTGCTGATGCATGGTTCTCTATGACCTGTGTTTTGTGACTGGCAAAATTTTTCATCTCTGTTCAAAAGAAACACTTCTTACTCGTGTTACTCACAGGACGAGGGACTCTCAATCTTCCATATTGAGAACAGACAAGATTCTGTGATTTTTCTTAGGGAAATAGTAGAAGCTGATGTTAGAGTCTCTGCTGTTTGGGGGAGCTAGCATTTCAACATTGAACATGATGCAGCTGGAATGAAACGTTAAGGACGGGAGAGATCCAAAGACTGTTTGGAAAGGGACAAAAAATGGCATATGAATACTCGCTTTTTCACCTCTAGCTGTGTAAGAAAATAATCTATAAAATGTAAATATAAAAACCAGGACATGCAAAAATAGTTCGCTGGGAATGAGTGTGCCTCCAGGGGAGCCAGTCTGTGCTGCCAGATTCAACCACGATTCCAGCACATGAGTTTCTATCGATCCTGACCACTATCAGATATATATTGATCTACATACTATTACTTAAACCATATACTTACCCCACTAAGCATAGGAACTCACAGCTGAATTAACACTTTGTTTTGGCCTTGCACTTGCAACTACTTTTGTGTTGCAAGTGGAATTCCCCAGGCACTGATACTTGTCCCTTGGCACAGATTATGTCCTGCCAGGTGGAAAATCTGTCAACATTTGTTTGGGTAATGAAGTCTTTACAAATATTTGGCTCACTGCCATAGTTGTTTGGCACACACAGCAGAAAATGTAGAAGCTTCACTCGTGCATAAGGATTCATCTGCACACGCTACATTCTAAGGGGTGAAGAGTCAGTAGGAGAAAAGGAACACTCTAGATGTTCATATAGCCCTGAATTATGTGGAATTTGTGAGTGAATGAGCTCAGAGATTCCTATAGATATGAACCAACTAATTTGGGTATTTATTTTAACTTTTTTTTAGAATAGCTAAGTGTCCAGCAAACCCTTAGGTGCATTGCCATCTCTTAGAAACTTGTTCAAAAAGGTAGTGCACAAATGCTTATCTGGAGCTAAGCTTAATATTAAGACTCCTTGTATTTGCCATTTATGACTTGAGCCCTAGGGAGATTTTCTAAAAGGTTTCTGTTTCCACATTCAGTTAGACACATAGTGAAAGCTGCCTTTAAAAACAATAAAGGGATTTCTGTCTGTTTAGGCTACCTCTTCACAAAGTGTGCGGTAACTGAGTTATCATTCAACTAAAGACTTCTTTTACATTCTGTTAATGTTGACCAGTGGGCTCAGATTTTACTAGGAGGCCACATGGTGTGGTAAAACATACATTGTTTTTCTCTTCCCATGAAAGAATATGGGACTGACGTATGGAAATAACCAGACTCAGAATGAAAAGTAGTGGTTTTATGACAAAAAGCAGTCAATGGTCTCCTCATATTATTTAATGGTTATCTCTTAATATAGACTGCGTTCTGTCGATTTATAATCTGAAGCTAATTCACTTCCAGGCACAGTATATTTAGCATCTATTAACAGAAAAAGGTTTTTGTTATGAATACCTTCTGGGGACATCATAAACACTGAGATGATTCACCAAATTCTAATTGTTTTCTTGACACTTTTTATCATACAGGTTCATAGCCAAGAACATTACGAAGCTGCAGCGCCTGGGGATAACCCATGTTCTGAATGCAGCGGAGGGGAAGTCATTCATGCATGTGAACACTAATGCAGAGTTCTATGAAGGCACAGGCATCAGATACCACGGCATTAAAGCTAACGATACTCAAGAATTTAACCTCAGTCGCTATTTTGAGGAGGCAGCTGATTTTATTGAGAAAGCACTTTCCCAGAAGGATGGTAAGGCAAACTGAAATATCTTTCTCCCATGTTTTCTGTGCACTGCATATGTTTTTAGCAATTTATTTTACTGTTTAAAATGGTTCTTTGCTCAAGATTATCAGCTGAACAACCAACTCAGGGATTCAGATCCAGGCTCTGGATCAAAGAAACCAGAATACGCAATAAAACATCTTAATCCTCTGTGTATACATGTAGGTCTCCAGTATATGGCAAATGGAAGTCTGTCACCGTAGGGGTGACTTTGAAAAGTGAAACAGCTGCTGCATCCTGTAATAGTGCCTTTCTGGGAAGATGTGTTCTTATTTGTCCTTAGAAGCAATAAATCGCAGGAAAAAATCAAAAGAGCAAGTTCAGGATCTAAAAGTTGTTTTAGGACACTAGAAATTATAGATTAAGGGCAGAAGTGATGCAAGTAATGCCTTGCTGAAGGGTATTCACGCAACCTGCTATATGGTGGGTTTTTTTCCAACTGTACAGTAAGGATAGACTGTGGCCTTCGCCTTACAATTTTTATTACGTTAAGTTGTTTAATTATTTTATGTGATGATTGCTTCATTATTCCCTAGGATTGCAGGAAGGCTGGAGATGATATTTGCAATGTTCTTGATTGCTTCATTTCTCTACAGTGTGTTTCCTCAGAGCAGAGATCCTAGGACATAGTGCAGTGGGCCAGATGGTGGTTGCTGTTATCTGACTATTTCAGCATACCACTTATTTCTACACATGTTTAATTTCTTTCTTGCTTCATGACTGAACATGAAAAAGGAGGAACAGTAACTCCCACAATTCTATGTGTTCTTTCTGTGAAATGGGCAAAAGGGGTACTAGAACTGTGATGTGCTTTTGACAGATGGAAACAAATTTTACCTCCAGTTGGGTGGAGCATGAAAAATCCTAAAAATTGAAATGCAGCTCTTCCAATTAGTGTTGTGTCTCACTGCAACAGGTTGTAGTAGGAAGGAAGAGTTTAACAGTGCCAGCTGTGCCATGACTGTCCCTACTCAGTTTGGTCTAAACAGTTGCAGGGTCAATCTGAATTTACAGTAGCAGTTTTATTTGCTGATTCTTTCAGTCTTAGTAATTGTTTACCATGCCTGCCACTGTTTTCTTACTGTGGTAAACAAAGAGGAACTTTGCAGCTGGGTGATGCTGGAGCCAGTTTTAAGATTAACTCGCTACTGAAATTTGATCGTTTTGTCTGACATTGAAGTGTAGAGTAAGGACAGTGAAGTGAAGAGGGATGCAGTAGTATTTTCTTCTAATTTCATTTTAGCATCGTAGTTGCATGAAGTCCTGGACAGCAGGTTTGGTGTACTAAAGGTCTGGAAGGCAGCCCTTAAGACACTGCCTTTCACAGAGCAGGGCTAGAAACCGGTTTGTTTCACATCGTTTGCAGAGGGGAATTCAATTATCTTCCATGATAAGATCAAGAATCTCTAAATCTTGCTAATTTATGGCTACGGGCTATTAAATGTTGAGAATGAATTGTTTTAGCTGTTTACCTTGCTACTGATAGAGATTTGCCTTGAGCTGCTTTCTGTTGCTGTGGTTCAAAGCAAGATGTGGTTATGATGCAAATGTGTGTGCATGGTTCATCTGCCCTCTTGTCTCAGAAAAAAATGTACTCTGGAGAGTAGCCTGGGTCCGTATCTCCCACTGCATTTGGGAAGGGGGAAATTTTTGTGTCTGGAAAAGCAGGTCAAAGGGGAAGCAGCTGAGAAGCGATAAAATCGAATTGAATTTCTCAAAGGGAGCAGTGACCCATTTTATTATTGTTGGATACCTACCTACAGGATTTACCCATGTGGTGGGTTAACCTTGGCTGGACGCCTGGTGCCCACCAAAGCCACTCTTATCATTCCCCCTCCTCAGCTGGACTAGGGGAGAAAAATACGACAAAAGGCTCATGGGTCGAGATAAGGACAGGGAGATGACTTGGCAATCACTGTCATGGGCAAAACAGACTCTGCTTGGAGAAATTGATTTAATTTATTACTGATCAAATCAGAGTAGGATAATGAGAAATAAAACCAAACCTTCCCCCCACCCCTCCCTTCTTCCTGGGTTCAACTTCACTCCCAATTCTGACTACCTCCTTCCCCCAAGTGGGATAAAGGGGACGAGGAACAGGGTTGTGGTGAGTTCATCACACATTGTCTTTGCTGCTTCTTCCTCCGCACTCTCTTCCCCTGCTCCAACGTGGCGTCCTGCGCACAGGAGACAGTCTTCCACAAACTTCTCCAGCATGGGTCCTTCCCATGGGCTGCAGTTCTTCATGAAATACTCCAGCATGGATCCTCTCCACAGGATGCAGTCCTTTGGGAACAGACTGCTCTAGTGTGGGTCCCCGTGGGGTCACAAATCCTGCCAGCAAACCTGCTCCAGGGTGGACCCCTCTCTCCACAGGTCCTGCCAGGAGCCTGCTCCAGCACAGGCTCTCTATGGGGTCACAGCCTCCTTCCAGGCACATCCACCTGCCCCAGCATGGGATCCTCCACGGGCTGCAGTGCATGTCTGCTCCACCGTGGACCTCCATGGGCTGCAGGGGGACAACCTGCCTCACTGTGGTCTTCACCACAGGCTGCGGGGGAATCCCTGCTCCCGCACCTGGAGCACTTCCTCCCCCTCCTTCTTCACTGACTTTGGTGTCTGCAGAACTCTTTCTCTTACTCCTCTTTCTGGCTGCTGTTGCCCAGCAGGTTTTTTCCCCCTTCTTAAATATGTTATCACAGAGGCACTACAACTGTCACTGATGGGCTCAGCTTTGGAATGATCCAACGTGCAGTTAGCATAGAAACTGGCAGCAGTGCAGCAAAAAGGCTGGATATCTTTAAAGAGATGCAATATATGACAGTGTATTTCTCTGTCTTCACTGTACTTCAAACTTTGCATCATTTATTTGTGCCTTTTGCTCCTGGTCATCTTTAGGGGCAAGGCTTATTCTAAACCACAACAGATTGGCAAAGTGTAGTAAACAGACACAGTTTGACTCTTTGTAATATCGTAGCAAATATGTTTCACTGTGAATGTTTTATGCAACAATTTTTTTCTGCATTATCCTTGATGACAGACTGTGTAGCTACTAACACAGTGCTAGCACTTTTCTTCCAAGTTCTACACGTCTTCTGTAGCATTCAGCATTTACATTTCTCAAGCTGCTGAAGGACTAATATTATTATGCTTTATATCCTAGCTATTTCATGTTGCTTTTCAAACATATATTCCAGTATAACCCATATTATGACCTGTCTTCCCTGCAGGACAAGTGTTTGTGCATTGCCGTGAGGGCTACAGTCGTTCTCCTACACTGGTCATCGCCTACCTCATGCTTCGCCAGAATATGGATGTCAAGTCTGCATTGAGCACTGTCCGGCAGAAGCGAGAGATTGGCCCCAATGATGGCTTTCTAAGGCAGCTTTGCCAGCTTAATGAGCAATTAGTGAAGGAGGGCAAGCTGAAGCCCTAGAGCAGAGCACTGTAGTATTTTCTGAAGTTTCTCAAACCACCAGAGGATGTCTTAGGTGCTTTAGGTTCCCAAACCCCAACCACCAAGCTAAATTGCGTAATGTGAGGGAGACAGAATTTGCGGTCTTGTCTAGTGAAAGTATCTTTCTTGAACACTGGGTCTGTCTTTCAGGATGGCACAAAATTGTGTCACTGTTTGGAGCTGTTGCAATAAAGAAGTGGTTTTAGACGGGTAACTCCAGTGATAACAGCTGTCTTCACATGTATTTCATGTGCTGCAGACTCTGTAGCAGATGTGGTTTGCATTGACATTGAGTATGATTCATTTAAGCCTTGTCTGGTGTCCCACCAGAACACCATTTTCTGTGAGCCCCAACACATCTCTTCACTCACTCTTAATTGAAGTACTGTATTTTCTAAAGGTTCTTTTTCATGCACACAGGTGCCTAAAGTTTGAGTGTAGGAGCTTCAAGGAATGGAGAAGCAAATATACAAATGCGCAGATGCACTCACTGGTAAAATGAAGGGTATGCAGTGTTGTGTTTAGTGTGGATTTATGCAATACACAGTGCTTGGTAGTAAAGCCATTCAGAGCCCAATCTCGATGCACACTGTATTTCCAAGAATATTTGTACCTCTTGCTGTTGTGATTGACATGGAATAGTCTGATATTAAATGCTCTTTTATTTTTGTTTTGAAGTCATACTAGAAAAAAACGTCAAGAGCAAATGTCGAGGAAAAAACTTGAGCGAGGAGGAAATAATGTCTGTATTTAGGAGTGCTTGTACTGGATGTATGATAAAGTCCTAAGTATCAGAATATAATGGCTCCTGAGGCTTGTATTGAATTACAGTGTCTCTCTCCCTTCTTTAGTATCGCTGTTTATTACCGTGGAATGGAATGAGCACATATGCAAATTACTTCCAGTAGGGCAGCACAGGTGTGCTTACAAAGCAGTTTGCAGAAGTACACTCTTAACTTCTTGGATTGCTTGCATGGTATCATTACATAGCAATTAGCATTGTTACATACCACATGGCGTAGGAAACATTTCCTTTCTATTAAAATAAATGATGTCTTGATTTTGTTTGACGAACAGATGAAATGAGTCATTGCAATGCTGGGAGAGAGAGCTTTGTTTACAGTATGCCTGGCTTAGCATGTAAATGTGTACCTGTGAGTTATAGCACTGTGTTAACACAAAGGATCTCCAAACGCAGACTGGGAATTGTTGGCTAAACTAACAGAACCTGAGATGTCTGTGTTCACTTTTTATCTGTGCTTTAACATAGTTCTGGATCAAAAATCAACACTATTTTAAACAGAAATACTATTGTATTAGTAACACATGTAAGCCCAGATCTAGTTTTGTATATTCAATTCACTAATCAAAAATCCCAAGGGACATACATTGTTTTACTTTCAGTTGTTGGGATTGTGTTGTTTGGGTGGGTAGGAGTGGCGGGGGGGAGTTCTGTATCACTGAATAACTGTCTTGAAATTAAACTCCAGAGGTGATGATTCTGGTTGAAGACCAGGCTTATTTCTGTTTCCTGGCACAGGATAGAAACTGCCAAATCAAGTAGCCATTTCTCTTTTGTGTCCTTCAAAGGGACAATTGGGGAGCACTACGTAGTATTTCCTTGTACCTCCCTACAGTCAGGCAGTATTTAGTACTTGCTTTGAATTAGGATGGTTCAGTAATAATGAACAGTAGTCAGTTTCATTGGCTAATTACATACCCGTTTCTCCCATTGTATCAATATTAAATGAATTGCTTCTTCAGAATTCCTAGTTACTAATTTCATGCTGTGTAGTTTGGGGAATAGGAATGCTGGCCTTACCTTTTCTATTATACTCACTTTTCCATACTGCAGTCTTATTTATAAGTCATCCTTTTAAAATTTTTGCTATGGGCATAGATTTTTTTTTTTCTGTCTCATCTTGCGCCGTGTATTCATGATACCTATCTGCACTCCAAGAAAAAAAAAAGATTCATGTGCATTCACTTTGTCTTTGACCTGTGACTTAGAACTGAAAAATTCCAGTCCATTAAAGAGCTAAGAAATGATTAGGCATTAGATTTTTGTTACTTTTCCATAGATTGTAAGAAGGCTAATAGTTGTCAGATTAAAACCAGAATGGTTTATTAAAATTGAGTCTGTTTGCCTTATGGTTTTATATTTGTCAGTATCAAGAAATACTGACAAATCAAGACATACGGGAATGTATTCTTATATTCAAGATGTTCTTGTAATTCATAGGACACTGCTCACTTCTAGTGGTAACTTCAGTGGTACTCTGGCCCATTTATCTCAGCATAACAAAACTGCTTTAACAAGCATTTTTTTGATATGAGGGTGGAGAGGAATAAGTAAGACAGTGCTATAAACTGATTTTAAACATTGAGCTCTAAGACAGTATATTCTATTTTGAGTTACTGATATGTGACTCAGTAATTAAACCATTTCTAGCTCTGCTTTTGGAGTAGGCTAAAAATAGTTAGAATGTCAGACCATTGCTCCATTAATGGATCATACCCGTCCTCTTTTAGGCTTATCTTGCTTTTTAAGTACAGTAATATTGCAAATTCCTCTGCCTATTTTAGCTGGCCAGGAAGAGCTTGTATGCCTCTAATGCATAATAATATGCTGTATACTTCTAAATTTCTCTTTCAGATTGTAGAAGGAAAGATTGTATAAAAACGGGAATGAGAGCTTTCTTTGCATGTAATATGAAACTGAGAACATATTGGAAGTAATGCACCTTTATTCTACTGAAATTACTGCTCACCTGCCCTTTGCTGTGAGATGTTCTCTACAAGCATGCTAATTGGGGAAGATACATTCTAAAACAACTATTTGTTGCAAATAGCGCTACATTTTTGGAGCTGAAACCTCTTGGTTGTAGCTAAAATAGTGTGATCTGGGTTTACATTAATATGTTTATCCTGAATACCAGTGTGGTACTTTTTGTGTAGATAGCACTCTGGAGAAGGGATGGGGTCTTTGTAAAATATACATCTATCATAGAACAAATATATCTACCATGTCAAATCCAGTACAATCAAAGAAAAAGCAACAGCTTGAGTTTTTTGTACTTAAGAGTTAGTGAAGTTGGAGAGGGGGGAAGCGTGGAAGTGAGAAGCTATTAGCATTTTATAGCAAAGAACAGAGAAGAAAGTCCAGATAGATAAAATCATGATATATGTAAAACTAAATTCACCTTCTACCCATGCTGAACTCGATCTTTCTCAGCCATTGCATAAGCACAGGAGAGAAGTTTGTAACTAAAAATTAAAATTCAAAGGAAAAATAACATTTTCTGAGTGCTTACTTCATCCTTTGGTCCTGCAGCTGAGCCTACGATGTTCACAAGTGTTGTATCTAGCATGCTACTCTGAACCGTAGGTACTGCTAGAAAATACTTTATGAGAGAATGTTGCAATATGTCACTGCTGAAAAGTGAACATTTCATTAAGTTATTTCAAACTTAGAATTAATAGCATCCGAATGCAGGACTAGCAGCCACAATGTGTTGTATTGTAATTCCATTTTGGGATGTTGAGCCTGTGTTAGGGTTGGATACATTTTTCTCCTACAAGATGAATGTGCCTGGCTTACCTCTCTTGGTGGTGTAAGAATTAATTAATCTTGATAAAAGGCTTTGAAGATGAAAAGCACTACATGCTCTCTGAGCTGAAAAACAAACTTGCGTCAAATGTGTCTTCCTCCTGCTGAGTAAAGGAGAACAGCAGAAACGGTATTTGCAATGTCTGTTTTCATCATTTAAATAATTTCATTGAGCTGTCTTCTGTTGTCCAGAACTAATTAAATCTCTGATGCTAGAACCAGCAGCAGGATTTTTTCCATTCTTTTTTAAAATTAGTTCAGCTAGTTTACTATAATGTTTTTGGCACAGAGGGATTATCTAATGGAACCTCAATATAGCTCAGAGGTTTCTTCTAAAATTACTTTCTGGCCTTTGCCAATGAGTAAAACTGGAAATAGAATAGGCCTGACAGGTGTCTTCTAAGTGTTTGTTTGTGAGAATTGGTGTCCTATTAATTTCTTATATTCTGAAAATAAATCCAGAAAATGCAGATTGCGTGAGTAATTCAATTAAGTGTTGTTTTGTGTTCATTGTAATTCCAGTATGCCGAGGTTGCTGGCTAGCTGACTCACCAGATGGAGCTGTAGGCTTGCTGATCTTCAACAGATAGTCACCGTTCCATCCCTGAGCAATGCTGTTGTGTGAAGCTAGTTTCCTCTTGTCTTATCACTGAAAAAGGCAAACCACCAGAATGATTTATCAGTGCATTTTTTTGGTCTCTGCGGGGAGAATCACATCGTAGCACCGAGACTGATATATTCACACAGCAGGTATGGAACTCAGCAAAATTCTTGTGAGACAGATAAAAGTTGCTTGGGCAAGGGTGGCTTAGCACCATCTTAGAAAAAAGGGCTTTTTGAGAAGCACACGAGTTCTTCTTGAAGATGTCAGTCTCTGAACTCCTGGGCAGTGTGCGACTTACAAGCCATTGTCCACTGATAAGCGTAAATTGCACACGTGTATCTTGGGGCCTGGATACCGAACACACCCCCCGGCCCAGGTTTGGGCAGAGGGGCTGCATGGTGAGCACCGTTGCCAGTGACAGCACTGATTTCAGAAGCTGGTTTATATGTGCGAGCCTTCGTAGCACGGTGTTGGGAGTGCAAGCACGTCAGCACAGAAGTCAGAGTCCAGAAAACAGCAGCAATGGGTTCAGGCTGAGTGTGTGATGCCAATCTGCTCCTTGTACCTGCTCCCCTTCTTAGCATGGCTCAGAAAGTAGCATCCCAGTTCTGACTATACAAGATCCAAACTCGGTTCCACCTTGGTGGGAGAGGGTTCCTTCTGAAAGCGTCCTCCCCCCCGGTGCTTCATTAACAGTGCAAAAATCAATCGTTTGTGAGGGGCTGCAGCCCAGACCACATCTGCTTTGTTGCAGAAAGTGCTGTGAGCAGGCAAGCAGCTACAGGACGTGGAAGAATGTTTTTGTAGTTAGGAGTCTGAATGTCTATGGGATTCTTTTCTTGCCTCCATTAGGCTGCCCTCCTAGCTCGTGGGCAGGAAGTTCTAATCTGGAGGCTAAATATAGCTTCTGATTTTTACTTTCATAGATTTGTTGGTATTATTTCTCCCAGCGGGTAATACAGATAAATGTAAGGCAGTTAACAGAGGGGATTGTTTCAGTACTTAGAGAAGTTACATCAAGAAAATTTTTGTTTTATGTGATGATTACTGTAAATGTGGTTCTCTGTAGCAGGCGTACACTGACCGATAGCTTTTGGAAATATTCTCTAGGCAGACATTACATGAAAAGAAATTAACAAAAACTGAACTTTGGTAGATACATACAATCCTGAAGGCATTTAAATAGGGGAGTGAATAGGTAGCAATGGTTCAGTGATTACCAGCATTCAATTTAATTTTGGTCTCCTGTTCTGCTTTTCAGCTGTACTCCATTGTACCACAGCTGTGATCTCACTTTGGGCAAGGTTACCACTGGTGAATATCACTACAAGGTGGTATTCCTATCTGACAAAAATAATACCAGGTTAAAAATCTTTGTTTGGTTCCTGATCATCCTTCCTGACTTGTTCAATTAAAAAAAAAAAAGGCAATCAACAAACCTTAAAAAAACAAACCAAACCCCC